GTTAAACGTTTGGTTTCTGGGAGCTGTTACCCAATGAGATATCGGACAATACAATAATATATGAATACGTGCACTCTAACTTTTGACACTGACAGAGAATTTAGAAAAGATACCTATCCAGTTAAGCTATGTGAGATCTGACTGATGCTATGCCAAATAACCTTAAATAATCATGTTTCAGAGTTTAACAGAAGAGCAGTTTCAGTAATCAACAAATCTTTATCGCCAACAAAACGAAAACTGTCCTCTGAAGATTTACGCCCATATTTAGTTAAAAACTGAGAGTAAAGTTAATGTTTATTTCAATTCCTTACCGATGGCACGGACGCCTACATATTTGCTGCCAATTTCGAGAATTAGTGTTTTCTTTTTAAAACTTATTCATAATCAACGTACAGTCTGACGCAAATATGTTGGACTAAGTAGTCATACTGCATTGATACGGTTTGATGAATTTTAAGAGATCAAAATAATCGTACTAAAAATGATAATGAGAAAAATTGAGCATTGAAAGTATAGTTGAAAAAAAAAACAGGATGACAGGGTATGTATGAAAGAATATACTGGAACTGAAGAATCTAATGGGAGGTAAAAAGTGAATGCCACAGGGACTGATATTGAGTGAAATCATACGTCTCCGACAACTCATCACATCTAGTGTGCGGATTTAAACCAGGTAGTCTGCATCCGCCAACATAACGGAAAAGGTCATTCCGATAGCTCATTTTTAAAATACCAACAATGATTTTCCACAAAATGGATAGAACTAAATCGAACCGAGTTGACATTACGGCTAAATAAATAGTGGGTAGAACAGATTCTGAGAACAGATACTTGTTTCGGTAAACTAGTCAAAATATGTGGTATATCACACCTTACTTTTTTCAACAAGACATCAAACCATAAGCAATAAATATAAAATTTTATACACAATAATAAGGGATTCGTCGAAGTGCCCGGAAAATTGAAATCGCTTAACAAAAACCACACTATATTCTTTATTCGTATGTACATATGCTTGGACATAATGATAACTTCGGAATTCTGTATCGAGTTTAAGGTGAGAGGAATAGGAAATAAATACCGTTTTTACAATCAAATGTGTAAAAACAACCAATGGCTTGGGTAAACGAAAACAAAACTAAATGACACACTGCTGAAATCTAAGCTGTAGGAACTACACATACCAATGGGAACCTCAGGATCTATTACGGACTCATCTTCACCAGAATCCCAAATAGATTCATCGTTCATTGGATTAGTCATATTTATCTCAGAAACTGGAACACAACAGCAAAAAATATCAGTAGTTAAACAAGAACTTTATTTATGAAAGGATACAGCTTTGAGTTTATTTTTCTAATGTACAATCGCACAACATACAGAATGGGAAAGTAACTGTGAATATCACATCAAACTATAAAACGAGAGAATTAATTTAAAGGATTAAGTGTACCAGCTGTATAATCAACGTTAACGTAACTAGTTTTATGAAATAGGGCATCCATATATAAGAGTGAAGCAGTAGAATACACAACGATCGAGAGTAATGAGTTCGTAATACAATTCATTTATAATCGACAGTATTTAGGAATGATTCTCAAATCCAGTGGTCTATAGTCAAGTTGATGTCTTTTAAAATGACATTTTTCACTTCAACAAGTGCTATTCGACAAAACATTAAAATTTCGAAGTAATGCCCTAATATTTAATAGACTACGTTAAAAGTTCTCAGAAAATAGTCTTCTCCATATGCATCAATAGACAAGCAGTTGATAAGACATAGTTTACAGAAATTCTTAGAATTGAAAAAACACAGGTAACTTTATTTCATTCATTCAAGTACTGTTGAAAGATAATGGGTAAAATTCTGCTCATCACTGACATTTTAGTTATTTAGTTTACTCAACTTAGCTTGGACTAAAGTACTTTTACAATATCTGCGATTGATTGAAATACATCTATTCAGCTATCATTGTCCATTTTTATCTACAACGAGCAGATTGTTTGTTTAACGCAACTAACACAAAAGATGGAAGTGTTAGTTGTTCGAAAACCCCAACTATTATATCGACATTATGAATAGATATGTGTTAGACAACCACTGAAAACTTGGTGGTATTGGACTACCGTTTAGTTCTACTATGGAATTCATCAGTGTGCACCCACGACCCCGCAACCAGGGATCAGAACCAAGACATTCGGTTTCGTACAAGAAAGCGAGATCTCTAGCACAGTGACGGTGTATAAATGACTCCAACTAATCTGCGATACTGCATGACTATCTATCACTGTCGTCGGTGGGTAACCTTTTCACATTCAACATGGTCGAACTACATTAGTCACGGCTTCCCAATAGAACTTCCTTTAAAGCTGGTCACTAGTGAGTACATGGTATTTCGTAGAAAAATATTTAGAAGGTAAGCGAAAACAGGACTACTACTACGTTAGGGAAGTTAAATCATCATCATTAAACAACAACAGCGTACATGACAACAGTACGAACATGAGGCAAAAACAATCACAGCATAAAACTATGGACAAGAACAAATGCGAATAAATAATTAGAAGAAATTTTTATTTTGAAATAGGAAAAGCCTATACAGTGCATCAAGCACTCTTCTTAATAACTAAACATATATATACGTTTGGGTATAAAAAAGTAGATGGAAACATCTTTTACAAAAAAATTGTTACTATTACTATATTGAAAAAAGTATAAAATGTAAAGGGTAATCGAGATGGAACGAGTAGAAACATACACAGATACATACAAAACTTTCTCGATAAGCAAACATAGAGGGATAATATCTCAAAAAGGAAACATTAGTCTTACAGATATCAAAAGAATGTTGTACGTGTGTGTATGCACACACAAACATGGCCGTATCATATACACACAAAAGAACAGGTAGCTGCCAGAAGAATGTAAAATAGGACAAGATTAGGAGTCAGTTTCCTGCGAATAGATAAACAAAGATGATTGTATGAAAAAGAAAGAAATGAGAATAGAATGTAGAAAGCACATACAAACATGAAGATGGCATTACAGTAAATAAATATTTAAGTATATATGTGTATGTAGAAAAATTTACTCATCAGTTGTTTAAATGACAATTAAAGCTAATACGTATTACATGTATAGATCCTAAGTACATAGGACAAAATTAATTAACAAATCTTACAAGAATAAGTGTTCGCACAATTCAATGCGCCACAAAAAACTCCTATAATCATAAGCAGAGGGAGGAGGGACAGGGAGACAAATAAATATTCCTAAAACATACACACATACAAACACAAAGAATGAAACGCGTCGTCATCATCTGGAATAGTCAAACTAAATAAGCAAACCGAAATAAGGGATTCGAGACCAAAATCTAATCGAGACGAAAATAAACTTATCCTATATACTAAGGAAAACGTACATACACACACAGAGAGAAAATCATAGCTACATGTTAAGTCGGAAAAAATTTAATTGAACTAATAGTTGTTGAGTAGAAGTAGAAAAAGTGATAAGATCAATCATAATATGTGCGAAACACAAACAAGCCTGAGTTAATCATAACAACAACGAAAACAACAACAACGAGGACAGTGACCGGTTATTACATAATAGTAGTAATAGAAAAATATTCTTGATGATATAATAATATACATTGTTCATTGAATTAGACAGGAGGAAAATACGACTAAACAAGTCAGTCATTCATTAAACTATACTTTACACTTCTGGTAATTTCAGAGCAGGAAAAAAACGAAGATACCTTACTAAAAAAATTAAAAATAATAGTAGTAATAATAACCATAAATGGACAATAAAAATCCTACCTAGAGAATAATTATAATAATAATAATTACATTACTTTCACTTGTCAATATAAATGAGCTTTCGAACTTGACTATTTTTACGCTTATCTTCTTTACATTACACATTTCACCTCACAGTTGAATTATACATGAGAGTAGAAAACAATCATAATTGGACAGATAAACAATTGTAATATACAAGAAAGTTGTTGAATACCTATACAAACATACATACATGGTACATTTGTATTCTTGAAAAAAAAATCTAATAAGAATAATTCTATTAGTAGTAATAATAATAATACTAGTAATAATGATAATATGAGACTGCTCATCATTTTTTTAGAAACTCATCATCAATATGAAGAAGGCACAGACTTTTAGGGTTTTGTTATTACAATTGACGAAATAATATGCATGGCACAAACGTATGTGTATACATGCACACGAACAGGCTACAAAAGGCAGATTATAATTGAATAGAAAGCACACACACATATATATTATAATGAAAGAGCAGAAAGAACCAAAAACACTACCAGGAACCAAGCTGATGAACGTCCCCTGAGGATAGTTAGTTGTTGAATGGAAAAAGGTGATATTCAATAAATGAACAACAATGAAGGGGGAGTGGAAGGAACACTTGTATACACTACAGAAATACAAATAGCTTATAAAATTAAAACGGTCACATTATCGTTAATAATTACATATAGTTGTATGTACGTAAGTTTATAGACAAACATATAGACCCTGGGAATTTGTAAAATCTAGAAATTCTTTTTTGCAAAAATACAAAACAATCAAAATGATGTTGAGGTTTTACACGACTGAATAACTACACAAAACACACAGGAAAGATGAAAAGTGGAGAAAAAATTGAGCATAATTCTAAGGAGAGAAGAAACGTACACATAGACATACTTATTGTGTAAGAATAATTACTGTTTTGTGTGATTTCATTGTAAACAAAAAAGAAAATTAAAAATCCAAAAAAACAATTTATTTGGCCTATACGGAAACATCTGTAAATAAAAAAAATGCATCGATTCACGTACATACACACATCCGTCTCTCGAACTATTCTAAGTATTAATGTCACGGACACATACATACATACATACATAGAGGGGAGGAGTATACAAATTGGGAAACAAGAGTGTAAGCAGCATTGAATTTTTTTTGCACTATGAATTAGATGTTGAAGAGAACATCTGAAGAAGACGTGGAATAATTGGTTGTGACTTATTAATATGATGATTAACTAATTTAGAGTCGGGTAAGAAAGATGTTGCTGAAGCGTTTGATGGAGATGATAATGGTTGTGTATTAATTATGTGATTATTAATCACTGATGTATTGTTGATTGGATTTAATTCTTGTACATGTTTATCATGAATTAACATTAATTGACGCAATTGACTAGATGATAATAAGCCATAATCAACAAGATTCACTAAATGTAACAATAGATTAGTACGTAGACGTCGTCTATGAATCCATCGACTATGCTGATGTATAAATTGACAGACTAATGTTAATACTTGACTGTCACAAACTACTAAACCGGATGGACGAATTGATAGTAGTAAAGCATTCCACAATTGCATAATTTGTTTTTCACCCTGAATAAATAAATAAACAATATAAGAGTGGAATGAAGAATTCCACATTTAACTAACAATGAGATTTGGATAAGAAAAATTCACACAAGTTTTTCTCAAATCAATTTACAATTTAAATATTTTGAAAGGGTTCATCAAATTATCGCTTGAATATCCAGCAATAGTTTTTGCATAAACGATTTAGAACTAGGATATAAACAAATAATAATTCATCGAACAATTTATATCACTATCACTAACAAACAATATCGAAATGATAGTGACTATTTACAATTCAAGTGAACAATTTTAGTGTTGTTGAGTTAGCTGAATGAGATGGTTTAAATTGCAGTTTTTTGCTGCCATTCATATAAAAGTGAGCTTCTCAGTTATTTCATAACGTTTAAAGCAGTTTGTTTTGATATTCTTGTTTGGGATTTGTGTGTGTTCGTAGCCATCATTTACCATTGTAATCAAGTTGACTGCCTCAATCAGCTGATCACTAACCATGTGTACTTGGTCAATCCTTTTCGAAAAGATTGACTGAATGAATACATAAGTCAATTGACATGAATATCATACTTTTAGAAATAAACTGGCCTTAGAAATCTCTTGGTCCACAATTCTGAAGTTGGCCCAATTGAATTCATATGTGATTGTCTACGTGCACTGATATCAGTGATAACATAGCTTTGCTTAATTGCTACTTTAAATCTCTGTATCCGAATCTGAAGCATTGATCAAACATATGGTGACAGATTAACCGAACAAGATAGTCAACTCAAATAACAGGAAAAATGAAGACAACCAAATGCATCAGAGCCAATCGATTTAATAGTTGTGGAATAATTGAGCTCACTTTTAAATGAAATAGGCGCTGTTGTTATCCAGTTCTGAAATTTGATGACGCATCTAACCACAATTAAAATGTATCAAATACACATTAGATTCGTTTACATCACAACAACACACACTGTGCTAAAATAATAAAATTCTTGGCGTGAAAATTTGTTAGTGCTTTGTACTTATATTACAGTTATCTCAAATTCTATACAGACAGGGAGACAATAGAACAATTATTGTGACAAGGTAGTCATAAATTCATACCAAGCTATACAAAAAAAATAATAATATCAACAGTCCAGAATGGCTTAACAATAGCAGTGTGTCTTCTCATTTTCTGTCTAATATAGATTTATTACGATGGCATTAGGCAGAAAACGCTTTGAAAGTACATAGAAAGGAAGTGAGAAAAAACACTGACCGGATTCACATCGGTGAACTCCTCCACTTTACGTTGATAATGTTGACGAAGCCAGACTGGAGCATCTTCCGCTTCAGAGTCCACATCAAATTCACAAGCACGAACAGGCTGGGATGTACGTGTATGATAATAAATACGATTATGTCCAGTGACCATAGGTCGTACCGATAATGTAGGATCAAGTAACTAGGTACACACATGTGTGTGTGCGGGAATAAGCAAGCGAAAAACAAAGAAAAAACATTAAATTAGGAACACTAAAAAACGAGAAATAGCACAGGTATTGTTTTAGACAGTAACAGAATAATAAACTTTATGGAAATTGGCCTGATTAAAACAATATAAATAAGAAATATGTTGATGTAATCGGTGTTGACACGAGAATTTTTGGTACGGATCAATAATTTCGCGATATTTGGTATTTGGGGACTGCGATTGACCAGCCTGTCGGGATTTGTTCTTATTAAGAGCTTTAGTATATTTAGTATGGATTTAGCTAGTAATGGAATCCAGAGTGCAGGTTTCGTCTTACGTGGGGCTCATCAGCTCTATTCACATAGATCCGTGTAGATGTTCACACTGAAACTCAAAACCAGTGCCTGTGGTGATTCAGTAACCTACTAATGAGCCCAGATATATAGTCGCTAACTTTTTTAAGTTATGAGGGTATCAGTACGATACACCGATAATCAATTACATGAAGACAATGACATTTTATGTAGGATAACAGGTTTCCCCCAAATACTAAGAAAGGGGAGTCAGCTCTCCCTCTCAAAATCCTCTCACATAGACATGCGAATACAGCCACTACCAGTGAAGTCCTACTCACTGCCTTTTTGTGGCGGGTGTTGTTTACGAAATTGAGAGGATGAAACGACAGGGGTTGATTAGGAATACAGTGGCCTTGAGTGCTGTTAGAGGTATGAGGGCGGTTATCACTTCCCGGTTGCCCACACCGTGGAAGGGTTGTTCTGGAGGTACCTGAAAAGGAAATCGGATTAGAGGTGGTCTTAGTGACCTGAGAGCGTGACCGCAGTGCCCAAGGGACAACTGCTTGAGGTCGGTCACACACGACTTTTTTATGGGTAATTTTTGTGTTAGCTCCGTACTTTTTGGGACCTTACCGCCGGAGACGGATATCCGTGGGATAAGGCGAGGTGTGCATTTTTACGGTCGACCTTTTCTAACCCCACCCCTCCTTGTGGGAAGGCAGCATCGCTGTCATGCTGGTTGTCTGAAGGAAACACCTTACTGTTGTCACACCCCTCTACAGTCAGCAGTACGACTTCGCCTTCGGACCTTGGGTTTGTTGCTTTTAGTCTTACCGCTCTTCAGCCGACCTGTCTGACATGGTAGGACCTTGAGGAACAGTTGTTCCAGCCAGTATAGCTCGGTGGCTTCATCACGATAGGCAAGCCCGACCACCACGTCAAGGTAGCAACAATGGTCACGATCAAATCCCTTCATCACCTAGTATTGATTCTCCTATCCCACGACTAACCGTTTGCGCATATCTTTATCATCACGCAATCCAGTGGACAGTTGCTTGTGCACTGTCAGATTCAACGGAACTGTAAGGACTAGGAGAGATCGAGACAGACGCCGTTGCCTATTCGTTGTCTCTATCTACGCTTCCACTAATTGAGGCTGGAATAAAGCGTAATATGAGTTTTATATGAAGCTTTCAAACCTCTTTCGGAAAAGTTAAACTCTCGGATGTAATAGTGTCTAGTGGTAGAGTAAACCAAGCCGAAAGGTACTTCTGTATATCTTACGGAGTTGCAGCTCGGTGAACACAATGGCGACCGTCTTTTGCAATTACGCTCAGATGAGAAAATCAGGCCAGTTTCTAACCTCGGTGTGGATGTATCAGCCTAATGTTCGCCCTTAGTTAGACTCTGGAACATGAACGTACTTTTTGAAGTTTGACTATTATTGTATTTTTTTAACCTTAAGGCAGCATGCAACCCTGTTGATTGAGAGATTCTATGTTAGCGTCCGTCATTAAGAAGCGTACCAAATGAGTATATCAACTTTGTACAGGCTTTCTACTTGAACATTCTCAGGAGTCAGAGGTTATGGTGAACTGTTAACAGAATTTTCAACCTCGAAGCGTTCGTTAGGGCTACCCAATTTCTCCATCTTCATTAAACTTCGTTGTAGATGTTCTCCTAGAAATAATACTTCCCATATTTAGATTTCCAGCGGTTGATCTCCTTACCGGATGCTCAGTTCTTAACTTAAAATATGCAGATGATAGTCGTATTTGGAGAAGAGCTGATTAAATGTAGGGTCTTCTAATGGTCTTAAGCAAAAGTGTAAGCATGTTTGAGATGTGATTCTCTACCTCTAAACTCAAAATGTTTCAGGACTCGACTGCATCAAAATCTAAGCTAATGACAGAGAGTGAAGTGGTTGAGTGAGCCGACCGCTTCACTTATCGTGGGAGTCTCTCACCCCTGATGGGATAGTGTCTGGGGAAATCTCGGCGTGGATTGAAAAATATCGGTCGCCTTTGACCAACTAGTGTCACTTTTGATGTGAGCGAGATAATCATCTGCCAATCACATGACAAAGTTACTACACAGTAGTTCTACTTTATGGTTATGAGGCGCGACCAATAAGAATAGAGGATATTCATAGGTTACTAGTGTCTAATCTTAGATGCCTACAAAGCATCGCTAGCGTATTTTGGGACCATTGAGTTAGAAATATTGAGGTTAGGCATATAGTACTACGAAAAAATGGCGAATGGATTGATGTGGTAAGTTATAAACTGAGGTAGTTGGGACATGCATTGCGTATTTTTAATTAACACCTACCTTAATGCGAGATGTTTGCTGATTTAAGAGTAGGCTGGAACAAAGATAGGGGAGTCCAAACCAAGACGTGGCACCAGTTTTTGAAGTCACTGATAACTGGTCTGAGGCATGTTAATAAGTGCAAACAACCTAATTGGAATCGGTCTAATTATCGTAATTAATGGCTATAGACTTCGGGTGAGATGGCTAACTGTTTGCAATAGTGCAGGTGCATTCACTCTATCTTCCCTCAACACCTGCTTCCCGAAATCTTCCTATACTTTATTTTTTTATTTTTCTGCACCTAATATTTTCTACGACTACTGCTACTGTTTCTAATTCTACTGATCTGAAGTAAGTCTTGATAATTTTATCTCATTGTGCTTATGTAGTATTACAACTTAAACCGATGCACATAAGTATTAGGTTCTAAGTTGCACATGAATAATTGATTGTGGTGGACTTCTGAGTTAGCTGTATATCACTTAGATTCACACAAATTTGTTATTTAAATTTTTGTGAGAAGAGCATAGGAATACAATACTACTTATTTGATAGCCCAATTAGTAACAGGTTATTTCGTCGACTAATGTTTGGTTTTAGTAGCACAGCTGGATTAATACACATATTTTTTCAGAGAAATCAATAATAATAATAATAATAATAATAATAATAATAATAATAATAATAGTCTAATTTTCATGCACTATCAACATAGTTTCAAAGCCATCTATAGAAAAATAATAAAATTATGCAGAAAGGCCCATTACTGACCTGATCAGTTGATAATTCAGCACCACGCCAAAATATCAAATGTGTGTACGGCAACCGTCGAACAGGACAACGAATTCGAACAGTGGCATCAATCAGAGTTGGAGAAATAGAATGACGACCTTGATTACCTGACTGTTTGGCATTACTATTTATACCTAGGGCAGCACAACTACCGACTAACTGACCAGATGATGGAATGACATGATGTCGTAAAACGAAATTATTTCGACCGCTCGGACACCATCTACGTATACCACAATCATTTGAACCGTCATATGCTTCATTTAATGAAACTTGTAGGCTTAACTGCGTATGTGATGGATCCCACATAACCTTGAGACGAAATCTTGGATGACAAGTTCGAAGATGAAGAATCAAGGCTTCAGGACCTTTATCACCAGCACGAGCACAATCTAAGTGGCACCATGGACAAACAAGATCAGTGGACTGAGACCATTGTTGTAAATTACCCCCGAATACAAAACCGTATGTGATTGGATGAATTAAGTGTGGCGTCTTCGTAGACGTGGGCTTATCAACGTCTGGTTCAAAATGAGCAGAGAGACTTTGTTGTACACGATTAGAGAGACATTTATCTAAACCGGTTGAATCTTTGAATACAGAAGAATCGCAAGACTCCTTCAAAACTATTTGTTTATGCGGTGTGGCAGACTGATTTTGAGACTTGATTACATCTCGATTATGAGAACTTGTCATGGAACGTGTAAGAGAGGATCGACCCTCCATATGTACATGGGTATTATCTTGTCTTCGAGCTTCCATCGATCTACAAGGTGAAATGATCTGATTATTTTCCAATTTATTATGCCATATGACAGAAAACCGAAGACGAGGCCATCGAGAATACTCGTCTAGTGCCGTGGAAGAATTAGGAAACCGAATGCGCCTCCATTCAACTTGACTAGAGTACGTGTCACTTGCTTGGTCGTTGTTAGCCGAAACATATGACTTTTCACTTACATTGTCATCTAAACATTTTAATGGCACAACTTTATTCATCATGCCACCACTACTACCATTGCCGTCGGACGTGTCTACACCAAGGCGTAATTCATATAAACCAGGAGTCAGAAGCAGTTGACGACCGGTACTGGTACTATCTATACCATTTTTTTCGAAACACAGAAATGAAAACAAATTAAAATCTACTATAATAGATGGATATAAAAATATTAATTATTGTTTGATTATATAAACAACGAAGCGGGGGTAAACGAATATCAACACGAAACTGTAAGCAACATAGTGTTGAACTCTGCAGGTTATACAGTCAGAACATGTTTCAAGCCTGATTTAGCATCGTTACACCCATCTGTATTTACATACATTTTAGAAAATCTAGGTGACTGACCGGTTCTTGAATATCTACGTAATATCAAAGTGTGTGGAGAGGTGGCTCAGTGGTCGCATGTTTGAACCCTGTCCCACCTACTTCGATCTAAGTAATCGGGAAGCATCACTAGCCTTCATATTTAGTGTGGCTCGAAGCCAAGTCTACAATTCCCTATCTGGTAAATGAGTTGAAAAAAATAAATTCAAGCATTAGATGATAAGATATGAGCTACAGGAAGCCCTGAACCTGGAGATTTCAGGTTGGTCATGACTTATTAACAAGCCCTATCTGTAGTCTCAGAGACTGTTACCCGTAGGCTTCCAACACATGCTACAGACAAATGTCACCACCAGGTGATATCCGAGCTGCGACTGACCTCTTGTAAGAAAGATTAATAACACAATAATAACGAAGTCTCATTTAATTCAGTCCTAATTACTGAGTTCTACAGATCAAGTGACAATAGTTACTAGTCTGGAGAAAACTCGAAATCGTGGTGAGCTTTGTTCAGTGTTGAGGGGTTGTAAGGAATCGCGACAATGAGCACTGGACCTAGGGTTTTGATGTTAGCTGGAACTCGTCAATAAGGCTTTTTAGCAGCGAGAATGTGCGTCTGCAAAAGAACAATTAACATTAATTATTGGTTCTTATCAGGCTCTATTTCAATATTCACGTAAATAATCAGTATGCAATAGCACTGTCTCATCTCAAGAATCAACAATAACGACTTGAATATCAACTGCAAAACAACTGAGAAAGATGACCAGTGATTAATATAGCTCATAAATCAGTCAAAATTAATTCAGTGTAAAAGCTACCTGAAGAACTTGTTTATTTCTAAATTGAGATCACAAGAACCGTACTCAATAACTAAACTGTTGTGATCTTTCTACGTTTCACTAAGCAACTTGATCGGATAGGGAATATGAGATTGTCAATCAAAATCCGACAGGAGAATATATATTTCGTTTCCAAACTTAATGCTATTTTAAAATTTCACTCTTGTGAAGTACACGAGAATTGAAAACTAAACACTCAAATATACAAACAGTATGATTCACAGTTGTAATACCAGGTCAGGTAAGTAGATACAGTTGAGTCTTGTACGTGGTTGAAGGACATAACATCTACCATATGTAACCCCGGAGCAAGATATCAAGCCGTCAGCTTATGAAGCTACCATCTACTGCATCGCACCGTCCCATGAATCATTGGATTTATATTTAGGTTTCGTGAAATAATCACAATCAATGATTGCATACTTGAGGTTACACTACTTGAAACCAGTGGCATCGACATAGACGCGTCCATTCATCATTTTCTTAAGTTGGAGCTTAATATCCAAAAGTTCTAATCATTCATCCCAACCCGCTGTTTTTATAGTTCGTAATTACTTTTCTTCGACAGACAAAACGACCATTTGAGAATAAACTAAAGATGTTACCAATTTACTGAGTGAAATAAAAATCTTAGGTATAAGACTAACAACACTCAATAACCTATTTGGATTACCCTAATTAATAAATGCACAGATAGGACTTATTAGTCTTATTATATAGTAATAACGTGTAATTGGTTAAGTGTATTTTTGATTCATCTGAGGGTTCATATCAACAAAACTTCTACACAGAACTAGACTTCTGACTCTAATAAGCGGAGACATAGAAGAGGATAGAAGTGTTTTTTTACTGTATCGAAATTGGATTTACGAAAGAGTAGCTTAGCGTATGAACACAGTAGTTTACTAGGTTCACAATATTGTATTTTCTTTAAAACTTAGTTCGATCTCTGTTAGTGATAAGATAGCATAGGACAAAAAAGCTTTATATTAGTGAAACAGCAACAGAGCAGTGAGAAATACGATTCTTTCCTTAATATAATGAATTCATATATATGTTGGCCGAAATTGTCATATCACATTAGCACAATGAGATGATGTTAACAAGATGAATAGTAAACGAGTTGAAATAATGTAGTATCAATTATATTGAGAAATATTAAGCATTGAAAGAATGACAAGTAAAAAATCAGAGTAAAAAAAACCTAAACGTAGCAAGAAACTTTGTATTATTATAAATTAAAATTAAAATATAACGAGATGATTTGACATAATAAAATTAGTTTTAATAACTTACCGAAACCAATTGAAGATACGATCAAAGGTAATGGAGCTGTAGCATATTGAACTGGATAGGAATTTGAACTTAAACCACCTTTACGCAATGGATTACCATTGATAAATGTTACATGGCTATTGTTGTTTTTTCCCATCAGTATGAGCACTTTTAGACGAATTTTGGGATAGGTTATTATTACTATTATTGCTATGGTTTATATGATTAACAATATGATTTGTTAAGTTGTTTGAAATGTTTGGAGTAATTCCATTCAAACTAACTGCTCCATGACTTAAATCGGGACGTTTTAACCAACGTCGTTCAGTGGCGGAAACATGTAACTCCAATTGAGCAGATGTTAAACGACCACTAGATGTATTCCATTTAACTTGATTAATTAGATCGGTTAAAGAGAAACGACAAGCGGTATGGGTCGTATTTGTAGTAGCAGTATTATTATTATCATTATTAGAAGTAGGTGGTGAGTTAACTAGGGAAGTGTAGCCAGTTGAATGACTGTAACAAGTTATTCGAATTGGATTTGGCGTTATATTTAAAATTGTATCATCTGGGCATATTTTACGGCGCCATGCCCATCCAAAGCGTAAATGAACATTAACAGAAGCCTTAATTTTAAAAAAATTTGGGAAATTGTTTATGCAATATATTCCAATATATATAATAAGGCAGCATTGCAAACTATGCTACTATACAACTAGAATAATTTCATAAGAATACTAATACAAATTACATTTTTAGATCAAAATGTAATGTTTAGTTTTGTATGAGGATTGAGTTATGCCAACACTTTGCATACTCGCGATTTTTCTTTCAACATCATAAAAAACTTGTAATACTTCAACAACAACATAAAAGCACGGATATGAGCTTTAGCCCGTTATCGACCCTATTCAACAATGGCTGATAACAACATGACATATCTGGGTGAAATATACGGTGGATAATGATGAATTACCAAGCCAAACAATATACATCTCTGAGTATGAATTTGGTATCAAGAACCGGCAAACGGCTAACATGATCTATTTGCTAGAATGCAGTTTTGGACTGTTAACCCTCGCGAGACCCCCCTGAATGCCCTGGTACGGCCGAGAGTGGGGAGAGTCCGCTCTCCCTCTCGAAATACTCTCACACGGCCACGCGTATACAGCCTCTGCCAGGGAAGTCCTACTCATTGCCTTCTCGTGGCGGGGGTGTTGTTTACGAAAATGAGAGGACGAAAAGCGAATGTCCGGCGCTTTAACCGGATTCCAAACCAATGGTGCACATGGGCTCCAGTATCCTGCGGGAACGAATGGCGTATGAACCAATCGTTGGTCACCGGCTACCATGGGACTGCATCTCCTTACGATGCTCCACTGCCTTGTGGGTTAGACCTTTAGGTCAAAGGCTCGGGGAGTGGCCCCCTAAGATAACCACCTGCTTCGGTTTGGGCACCCGGGCAGTATCACAGCCCACACACAAATGATGAACTCTTTATGTCTATGGAAATTACTTTTGTCGCTTTGAAAAACAAACAATTGATTCAAATTATTATCATTACAATTATTGTCATTATTAATACTAATATTATTATTACTACTATTATTGTCATTATTGTTATTATTATCATTATTATTATTATTTTCCACATTATTCACCCTCTTTTATACTTATACAGCGGCTCGTCTTTGGTGGAATTCCGACTGTATCTAAACGTTCTCGAGTCACTGTCCGGTTGAAAATTGTATGTTACCACCGAATACGAGGACTGAAGCAGATTTTCTGAAACCACGTGCACCATTCAAACTGGCTGCCTTCAACGTTCGCACATTTATGCAGGTCGGACAACAGATAGGGCTGGCTATGTCTTTGGAAAGTCTTAATATCGACGTGTGTTGTCTATCCGAGACCCGTATTCAAGACTCTGGCGAAGTACTACAAATTCGATCTCCATCTGTCGCTTCGAAAAGCTTGTTTTACGTGCGCTTATCCGGGGACCCTGTGGCATCTTCGTCTGGTCTTGCTGGCGTTGGTGTCGCACTAAGCGCTAGAGCTGAGGCAGCACTAGTCGATTGGATCCCCATTAACAGTCGGTTATGTGCTGTTAGATTAGAAAGTTCCATCAAAGTGAGAAGAAATCGGCGTGAGAAACGATGTCTTTTCGTCATCTCCGCCTATGCCCCGACAGATTGCAGCCCGGATGCAATCAAGGATGAGTTTTACCACCAGTTATCAGTTCTTCTCCAGAAAGTGCGTTCGACAGATATTGTAGTACTAGCCGGAGACTTGAATGCTCAGGTCGGGCGTCTAGGCACAGAAGAGAGTCGTTTAGGTGGCCGATGGGGACTCGTTGGTCGCAGGTCAGATAACGGGGACCGTCTACTGCAACTTTGCACAGACCACAACCTGTTTCTGGCTAGCACTAACTTTCGGCACAGTCATCGCCGATGTGCCACCTGGCGTCCTCCCTCTGCATCTCAAGCCTGGACTCAGATTGATCACATCGCGATCAGCTACCGCTGGCGTGGTTGTGTACAAGACTGCCGCTCCTTTTGGAGTACCTATCTGGACTCTGACCATGCCTTGGTCTGCGCCAATCTTGCCTTACTTTTCAGTGGACAACGAAGTGAACGCCATCAACGGATTGATGTTAGCAAGCTGGTTGCAACTTCTGTTGCAAGTAAGTATCGAACCGAGCTAGCCTCTAGGCTAGCTACCACTCCACCGAAAAGTATAGATGAGCATTGGTTGCAATTGCATGACGCCATGAAAATGGCGGGAACAGTCAGTTGTGGGTTTGCGAAACGTCCCGCTTTTAAGCACTGGGTTTCTTCTGGTTCCTTACAACTCATTGAAGCCCGTCGGTCTACTCCGGGTGACCGTGAGTTTGACCATAAACGAAGGATGTTACGTAAGGAAATTGGGCAAAGCTTGCGTAAGGACCGAGAAGCCTGGTGGTCGATGCGTGCTAATGAGCTGGAAGCAGCAGCTGCATCTGGTAACTACCGGAAGCTCTTCCAACTCATCCGAGCCACTGGCAGCAAGAAGTCTGGTGTGAGTGAAACAATCTGCGAGGATGATGGGATGCCAATCACTAACATCCATCGACGTCTTGGACGATGGGCAGAATTTTTCGAAGGGCAGTTCAACTGGCCTGCTGCTCCGGCAACATCGGTCAGACTGTCCTGCCCTCCATGGCCGGTGACGACTGATCCACCAAACGAGGAGGAAGTCCGCAAGGAACTCCAACTCTTGAAGCGTTACAAATCACCTGGCCCAGATGACTTACCTCCGGCTCTTTTTAAAGATGGTGGTGACTTTTTGACTAAGGAATTGACGACGTTGTTTACAAAGGTTTGGGAACTAGAGAGTGTACCAACGTCATGGAATGAGTCGATAGTTGTCCCTATCTTTAAAAAGGGTTCACGTCGTTCTTGTAACAACTATCGGGGGATAAGTTTACTTCCGATTGCGTCCAAGCTATTGGCTTCCGTCATTCTTCGTAGGTTGTTCAAAACCCGAGAAAGATTGACTCGCGAGGAGCAGGCTGGGTTTCGTTCTGGTCGAGGATGTATTGATCATATCTTCACCCTCCGCCAAATGTTAGAACACCGCCATACTTTTCAAAGGCCAACAATCGTAGTGTTTCTTGACATCAGGGCTGCCTTCGATTCGTTGGATAGGACTGTTCTCTGGGATTGTCTATTGAAGAAGGGTGTGCCTGAGAAGTTTATTAACATCCTAAAAGCCCTGTATAAAAACACCTCAGGCAGAGTGAGGGCATACAACCACCTCTCTCCATTGTTCCATTCGAGCAGTGGGGTTAGGCAGGGTTGCCCAATCTCACCATTCCTCTTCAACTTTGCCATCGATGACATTCTGGAAACAGCTCTGATGAATGTAAGTAATGGTGGTGTGGATCTGTTGCCTGGAGAAAGACTTCTCGACCTTGAGTATGCGGACGATATTGTCTTACTGTGCGATAATGCCCAAGGCATGCAATCCGCACTTAATCAGTTGGCAATCAGTGTCCGTAGGTATGGTATGTGCTTTGCACCTTCGAAGTGCAAAGTACTTCTACAAGACTGGCAGGATTCTAATCCTGTACTCACCCTGGATGGTGAGCAGATAGACGTAGTTGAGAAGTTCGTGTATCTGGGTAGCTGCATAAGTGCTGGTGGGGGTGTGAGTGATGAGATCAATGCACGAATAGTGAAAGCCAGAGCGGCTTATGCCAATCTGGGCCACCTTTGGCGCCTTCGTGATGTTAGTCTGGCTGTAAAAGGTCGGATCTACAACGCGTCGGTGAGAGCAGTTTTGCTCTATGCTTGTGAAACCTGGCCTCTCCGAGTTGAGGACGTTAGACGACTCTCTGTGTTCGATCATCGCTGTCTCCGAAGGATTGCTGACATTCAGTGGCAACACCATGTCAGTAATGCAGAGGTTCGGCATCGTGTGTTCGGGCACAGAGATGATAACTCAATTGGTGTCACCATCTTGAAACACCGACTTCGGTGGCTTGGACATGTTCTCCGAATGTCGTCCCAGAGAATTCCACGTCGTGCATTATTTGCCGACTCTGGGACTGGTTGGAAGAAGCGGAGAGGTGGTCAGTGCATGACATGGTGTCGTGGCATGAAAGAAAGCTGCAAAGGACTGGCTTGTGTTGGTCCTTCACGACTCCCTGGTTGGGGTCCGAGAGATGGTGCTACACAGTGGCTAGAGACGTTATCAGATATGGCTCAGAATAGAAGCCAGTGGCGATCCTGCTGTAACCTTCTTTTACTTTCTTCATAAAAAGTGGTTGTGTCTCCTTTACCTGAAAGATTTCTTCTGATTGTACCTTATCGTCATTACTCTCTTTTTCTTTTGCGTTCCTTAGTTTTTTTTTTTTTTCTTCTTCTCTTCGAATTCCCATTGTTTTGTGTGGCGCATATATATTGGCGCTCTCTTGTACCAATATTTATGTGTTCAAATAAATAAATAAATAAATAAATAAATAACCCTCGCGAGAGCATAGGCCACCGACCAGGATGCTCCAACCAACTCTGTTCTAGGCTCTCCCTCTCAGCTGTTTTCAATTGATAGACATTCTTTCGACGTCTGCCTCCTATTCCCGACACAATGTGTTACTCGGTTTTCGTGTTCCCTTAAGAATTCCAAGTTAGAGATCACCTCGTGTCATGACGCCGTTTGATGATTTCCATGAAGTGTGACCTACCAACTTTTAGTGTTGTTTCCTCTTCAGCTGGAGCCTAGTTTGTTTTCTACCACAGTAGACTGTTAGTGATAGTATTCGGCCAACAGGTCTGAAGTATCTTCAGTAGACGATCGTTTATAAATACCTGCACTTTTTTGATGATGGCTGTGGTCCTCAACGTTTCAGCTCAGTACTATAGAATCGTCTTGACGTTCGTACTGAAAATTCTGGTTTTGATGTTGGCTGACAACTCTTTTGAGTTCCTTATATTAGTTACTTGTAGGAATGCTGCCATCGCTTTGCTAATCCGCGACTTTACATATGCATCATAAATTCCTTGTTTATCGATGATGCTGCTCAGGTACGTAAAAATTTCCACTTCTTCTAGAGCTTCTCCATCAAGCGTGATTGGACTAGTGATTTCTGGGTTGTATTTTAGGACTTTGCTTTTTCCCTTCTGCTTGTTGATTTAGGGTATTCCCTTGCGTTTTTTTCGTTCTATCATGTAGTTGTTGGATAGTTCCCTCGCTTGCAGAGTTTCCCGCTATCACTGCTTGGTCATCCACATATTTCTGCTTTTTGGCTTTAATGCTCCTCTTCATTCTTATGTTTGATTCTGTGCATTGAATTTCTCTACTCTTGTTCGGCTGCTTTTAATTGCTGTCACTCTTTCCACTGTTAAATCCTGCCCGAAGTATCGGTAGAGATCCATTCTTCATGATGGTGCTTCTGTATTTGTTGTTCCAGCACCTCCCGGCTCATTGAAGTTAGTGATTCTTCGATCCCTTTCCAATTGTTACTTACAGCAGTTTCTTCTTTGAATGAATAGATCTTGTAAGGCTTGGAAATTATTGCTGAGAAATATCTAGAATTCGTTGAGTTTTTCAGTGTTTCTCTAGCTTCAGTTTCATCTTGGCAACCACCAGGTAGTGATCAGAAGCTATGTTAGCTCCACGTTTGGTTCTCACGTCTTCCATTGACCTTCTGAATTTTTTACTGATGCAAATATGATCGATCTGGTTTTCTGTAGTGCGATCCGGTGAGACCCATGTAGCTTTGTGTATGCAATGTTATATCTCATTTCTGCAGCTATATGACGGATTCTCCGGTCTCCTATAATGTCCGGACATTTCATGTACCTATATTAATTGTTGCTCTGGTTATTAAAAGGGGCATCGGCCTCGTTACTTTCGATGAAGTTCCACTTTCACCATTAGATGTCATAATTCTTCTAAATAAGATACTTTAACTTCCAGGACAGTTCAAATGGTTTTGATGATTTATTCTGACTAGCCTTTTTTAACAAAGCTGTTTTCTACGGGATAGGGTTGCTGACTACATGCCCTACCCCCCACTTCTATCCGGGATTGAGACCGACAGTAACCCCAGAAGGGCTACAGACGGAGTCCTGGAAGAATTACATAGTTAACTTCTCACTGGACTTCATTTACCTATTTAAATTGAATCTGCCAGTCACAAAAGGTACACATGGTTGACACGTATATACTTGGCTTTAGGTCAGAGTTTGTGTTGATATCCGAAAGCACAGTACAACTAGTTTTTTTTCAACGTCAAACAATGTAATATAGTGGCTTAGATTTTAAAAGGTTAAGATGTCGTTATTTGACTATTTTAAAACTAAGTCACTTAAATACATGATTACCTTATAGTGACATGAGTAACAGGCTTAAGCAACTTAAGTCATTACATAAGAAATGGAAACCAGCACTGGACCCGATGATAAAATGGTGTGAATGTGATATGACTTCATCACTTTAAGACAAACTACCCCTATTGCATTTCTGCTACGATTTAACCAACAAAAAGACAATACGAACAAGGTCAATAACGAATTTATATGAGCATGCCTCATCATTTCACTATATATAGTTAAAACACATTTTTGTTCAAACCACTTGTAAAAAACTAAACTTGAACTAGGAAGTGATAAAATAACTGTTTTGTGGTAAATACTTCTGAATGGCTTATTAATGTCAATTACTAGTAAAAGCTATTCCGATACTACCAATAAATAAAGAAATTTTAGTTCAGTTTGGATAATTGAGTGTGCGTAGTTTAATTTTACTGTATACATTCTAAGACCATATGCCCTTTAATTGTTCGACTTTATTACGTAGAGATTATGTGCAACAATTTATAATTCTCATTATAATCACAAGCGCTGAGCTTTTTTCGAATTGCCAAACCACCCAACAGCTTTAAATTTCACCCTATCCATGTTTTTAACATTTTAAATGAAATGAATAAATCTAGGCATGTTGGTTAATTTATCCTGTTGACCAATGGAGAGATAGTACATAGATATTATAGAGGTGTCTATTACGAGATTACATGTCGATAGAAGTTGATTAGTTCATCAATATTTGTCATTATAGTTTCATCTTGTTATGCTTATAAGATGGGGTAACTTAGGCCGATATACATATGTACCAGATTCTGTGTTGCCAACGACTGACTGATTGACTTGAAGGATATCAAAAGATTTATTATCCAGTTAATTTAAACACTGAAGAATTTGTTACATAAACATGTGTACCAGGTAGAATTTTTATAAAGTTAAATGAATGGTTAAAAAAATTAAAAACCGACGCTGTATAATGGAATTGTACAACAATAAGTGAGATATTATTCAACACAAAACAATGCACTTACGTCCACGGTGACCCAATCCACTTCTTTTTCACTATCGTAAAAGCCTTCAAAAACGAGTTCTAATTCTTGAGGCAATTCACCAGAAGTCGTTGAAGAGGAAGATGAAATGGATTCTGAGTACTTACTGGAATCCTTCGATTCATCATTCTGTCTGAAATCTTTTCGTCCTTCAATTAGACGTTCTACAATTCTGTTTATGCTTCGACGTGAACCTAGATCAATAATAAACTACAAGTTGATCGAAATACTTAATGGTTATGGTTGTTATATTTTTTGCCAAAAACAAATGTGAGGAAAGTTATAACTTTTATGAGGGCGGTGATTTGTGGTTAAAGGACTCGGGATTCATACTAAACAGGTCTCTAGTTTAAATCCCATTTACTTCGGTTTAGGCAGTAGGGTAGTATCACTCGATAACTCGTTCACCGCTAACCATATATCAAATATGCTAAAACTTGTAATTACAGGCTATATAGAGACAACTCGTTGGGGAAACAGATCAGGCAAAAAGGATTGATTAGTTCTACTTCTGAGTATTAACAACGGGAAATTACAAACCCCTCGTGATAGATTTAAGCTCGTTGAACAAGTTTGTGGTTACATCAACTCAGCAGATCGGTGGATTACGCGTCGGTGTTTGAAGAGAAAGATACTGGATTTAAGTTTCAATATGAACATTCAGACTGGAATGGAGACACATCGAGGTGACAAATTTCAAATGGGAGGGAATGTGCCTCCTAAATTCCACTGCTAGCCACATGTTAAATATACTAAAAGATTCGTAACTTTGTATTCAGCAGGATTTTATTCCTTTATTTTGAAATTAGCTATTCAGTGTTTAAGCTGGCAAGTCGCTTTGCTGATTACGGTTATTAAAATAAATTGAAATCAAATTTTAGACACACTTGTTATGCAGACCTAAGAAACTAATACAGTGGGGATTTAAACTTACCAGACGACTGCTTACGGATGGATTTGGCATCAAATAGCTGAGAGTACGGTCCAGATATAACGGACGATCACGATGACGATGGGAAAGATATCTATACAAGTGTGTTGGGATAGCAAAAGCCCGTACAAATGCTTCCTGTTTTTTAACCAAGTTATTAAAATCAACAATTGAGTTAGTGTAGTTGGACTGCGTACTTCTAGCATTAGGTTTTCTAGTATAAGAAAATCTTGAACATGAATTGCGTCGAGTGTATTTTCGTTTAAGACCTGTTGGTCTGTTGGAACAACTGACCGATTGAACCTGCTCAACTGGGTTTTCATCATTAGGAATGATACCAAACTCAGAGTTAGTTTGTGGTGAAGTATTTGCCTGAGAATTGACATTTGGAATACGACGCCTATATGGTCGTTTATTGACATACACAGCCTGTGAAGTTCTGCATTTTAACCTGTACAAAGCAGAAGAACGGCTAGCAATACGACCATTCGGGATTCTACGTTGAGATTTGGTTTGAATAAGCTACAAAAAAGAAAAGTGTGAGTCTAATTTGCTACCATTCAATGCTAGAAAATTACTTTCATTAATACAGTTCAAAGATCTTGTAGTTTGACATGAATGGTAGCAGTAGTATCCAGAAAGATGTGGTAATAACAATTAACTCATTCATCGGGTACTTTGGTGTTAGTGATACTATCCTATCACCCAAACTGAAGGTGGAATGAGGTTCGGATCCGAGACTTGGCGGCGGAAAGTCGAACACCTTAACTACTAAATCGAAAGGATATACACTTAAGCATTATGGGCTTGATAAACAATCGACCTATATACCCAGTTTCCTTATTTTCCCGAGACATACCCAATGAGTTCAAAATAAAAAGTTGTGACCAACTGAATTATTGCATCTTTGCATATCTGCCAGGGTCACTGAAGTATAGTAAGTAAACTAAAATGAAAAAAATAAATGAGTGTCAATGGTATGGGGAGATATTTGACATTCAGGTAACTTGACTTTAAGGGAAATAAGGCATAGAATAAGCGCAGAATCCTGTATCGCAAGGAGATACAGTGGTCGGATTAGTCTGAAATACTCTTGGTTTATCGCTGCAACGTTAACCTGTATAATTTTTCAGCCAGCACGCTTCACTTCTGCACTAGCTTGAACTGGTCACTGCCAGTTGGCGATAAACGCGGCTTCAATAAGACTGATTATATTTACTAACAACAAAATGTGCTATTGAAGCCAGGTAGTGCGATTAAGTATAACGAAGTTCTGATAACTGAGAGCACTTAAAAAACACTTAGATATGTGATTTAGCATACATCATTTCGTCGGATGTTAAGCCAACCAAGAATATCTTCACTGATTGAAATATTAGTAAATAATAATCATCTTCCTCGTCACAAAATGCGTAGGTACAGAACAGAATTTTCAGCATATAATCTGACAACAACCACATTTTACACAATTTTAGGCGGAAAAAAAGTGAATACGTATGTGAAAAATTAAGCTGATAATTTCAAATGTGAAAACAAGAACATTTGCGACGACTATTTATTTCCGCATATGCCACAGTTAATGACTGATTTTACTCTTACAAAGTCTTTTATCATAACATATACACGTCATGTAAGACAGTTGATGTTTGTTATTCAGCTTTCGGTGAATAGATCCATATGTACTTATTTTTTTGTTTTTGCAGATAGACCGTGAGATCGTAAGCTGAATAGATAGTTGAGTTTCCATGGTTAGGAATCACGTAGTCATTTCTTATAAGTTTTGCAAACGGGCTGGAGCAATAAACAAGGGTATGTAATCATTAAGAATTAATAAATCGTAAAATTCAGGGTTAAGTAATGCCAGAACATAACTTTACATGCAATAGGGATTAGGAATACATTGATTTCGATACTAAAAAAGTAATGAAATGATCCAATTTGTGACGTTCATCAATGTTCATGGGCCACGAAACTGAATGACTAATTGAAGTCATAGTGTAGTAACATCTGATTCAAAAGCAACAATATTTAAGCGAGATCTTGCGAAAATTTATTGCATTTTAACAGCCGAAATTATTCGCAGATAAAAATAAGATGGGAGCATTACATATTGGAGTAAGTTATTATTTGGAACCGGTTGGTAACAACAATGATGTAATTCATTTACCAGGTAAAGGTATTTGACTGAGTCGCATAGGTTTTGTAAAAGCTGATTATAATACCTGACTGCTTCAAATGAAGTGGGGAAAGGGTTGGACCTGCAGCCTACTGGTTGACTGATAAGTAGGAAATTCTACGCTCCCATACACCATATGACATCAATTTCTCTCTAATTGGAGAGGGGATTGCTAAGACGAATGTCTATCGCAATCGTTAAATTTTCTCTAGGTAATACCCATCTGAGCAGACGAAACACAAACGATTTTGGCGACTATGTAAAACGTGACTTCTAAGTATACAAACGTAATTTCATTCTGAGGTGAGAAAATGTTTACTCACTGAGTTCCATTAAATGTTCCAGCAAACAAAAAACATACTGGCTTAGTTGATTGTAGTTACTAGGCGATTGTAGTGTATACATCACTGAATATTTAAACATAGTAATCACCTTAGCATAAGCTTTTCCTCTACTACATTTGGGATTACTTTTTTCCTTGAGTCTACAGATGTACGTCTACTAGCCATTGAACGACTTGTCCTATCACTAGACCTCTTGACGTGTGAGGCGGTTCGACCTCGCCCAGGCTTGTTTTTAAATGCATTGCTAGACCTGGGAGTTTGCTTCTCAGGTGATTCCATGGACGACAACGGCCCTAAAAAGTTTAAAAAAGCATTAGTTTTAGGTGTGGGTTATCATAGTGAAAGGCTTTAAAGTTATGAACTATAAAATTATAACACTGAGATGACTTCCCGCAGGATTTAGCTTTAAGGAAGTTATTTTAATTGACTTTGATATACGAATGTATTAGGCATTACTATAAGAAAGTTCAACCTGTGTAGGATTTGAAGAGTGAACCCTAATACATTTTGGTTTTACAACAGTTAGTAATGACTAATTTAGGTTATCTACACAGTGTGGTCTTATGGGATAAACAGAAAAGGTTAGGTTATTATAGAATCACTACTTAGCAACAATTTTTTAAAAAAAACAATAAAACACAAGGATTTTCCGGAAGATAACGATATTAATTGGTTGTTTAAACATTGGTATGTTAAACAGAGTAACAGCAATCGAGAACTGAGCGATCAAAACAGTGAACTACAACTTGCACGACAAAGATCCAAGCTACAAGATAAAACATTTATTTGAATGATCTTATTTAAACTAGAAATATCAAGTTAATCACCCTGATCACTGTTTCAGCAGAAAATTCTGGAGGTGTTATTTTGCGTTATAAATCGACCATGTAACTGGGACATGAAATGATGGAACAGTTGATTTTTCGCAGAGTACGGTTGCATTCCAAGTTAGGCACTCGGAAAAATGAAACATTTTACTTACCAAAGTATTTAACTACTTCCTCAGGTATCTTTTAGACACATGGCGTCTATTGGTCTAGATAAAATAGTACCAAGAATACAGACAAACGAATACAAATTATATGAAAACATTTTACGAACATAGGGATACAATGATATAATTATAGTGGTTAAGTTGTCGTTTTGACGATGATTATTTAATCTAAAAAAATTAGCATCGATATTTATAAACGTTCAGTAGAGTAACAGTTCTTGAAATAAAAACGAGACAGAGCAATGTACGGTGGTTTACCTTGCAATACGTGAAATTAGAAGAAAATCAAGAGAAGTAATTAATGATGAAAATCGGTTTCTGGCCAGGGAATATAGTAGACGTATCTACAGATCACAGTGTGGAACGCCAAAGCCAAGCTGTCGAGCATTTCTAATTAACATATGTCATGATTTTGAGGACCCGTAGTTTCATTTTCTATGCAAGGTTCAAACTGACATTTAGACGAAGCCTATTTTAAAGAACTCGTTTAAATCAGCCTGAGGCAAGAAGTAAAAAAAGTTAATGCTCAGAAACATCTTGTTTTTTAAACGCATGAACAGCAAAACTGATGGTGAACTGACCACTGCTCCTCTTATAATCCAAGCAATCGGAAATCAATCAACCTGACCTGTCACTAAACAAATGAACGCTCGTCTGAAACCAGTAGTCATGTGAACTGGCTTCATGAATCCCAAAAGGATTATTCCACCTTCTAGCCAGTCTGCAGCTTGAAAATGAAAATAATCAGGTTAATTATTTGCTTAGTTCAGTAAGGATTTTGATAAACCTTTTGATTTCCATGTTTTGCTTCTTACTAGCAATTTAGATTTGTGTGAACTTTACGGTTTTACTAGTCTACCACAGATGTCGGAATATCACATGTAAAATAGATGAATAAACCAACGGAATGTAAATATTATTTTCTTTGCTAAGCAGTAAATTAAACCGAACTACTAAACGAGTAGACTCAACAAAGCATTCTTTTCGAGACGCTCATCACTTATTGTAGTTATGAAATTGTAAGTTTAACCTGTCTTTTTGGTAGACAAATTTTGCCGTAACTAAAATCACCCGTTATCACAACTGATTGTACTGCGTAAAAAACCATTCAGGCAACATAAGGTCGCAGTGACATATGGCGCGCATCAGAAGAGAAACCTGAATGGTTTATATCTTCAAATATTACTTTCCATAAGAAATGACTGGTAAATCTAATCGTACTGACACCGACAAAACTTCTGTCTTAATATTATTACTAAGCTGTCTTTGTTGCTGTATCAAATAAAGATATTTATATTGCAGGGTTTACTGAACCCAATCAATGAGCTTCCTGGTTAACAAGTGAAATGTTTTTATAGTTGTCGCCTTTGTTGTCAGAAAAACCAACACTTGTATGGAGTACCTAAAAATGCTTGCTTTGTTATCACAAACATTTGGTGAGTAGAGTACTGGTTGGGCAACATTATTTGCTCCCTTTCAGAAAAAGACTACTTTGTTTATCTCTTTATGAGTAGAAGCTTAAAAAAATTGAATTTCTGTTGATAAACGAAACGCCTCAATAAGATTATAATGCGCAGTTAGGTTTGTGTGTGCTCACTTGTCTCGTGCATCAACTGGACTTTTTATTTTATTTCAGCAACGTACAAGGCTTGGAAACGAAAGTCATCATACGGGGTTAAATATACATGAAAAGATCGCTACGCAATCTCTATGGATGAACAGTAAAATTAGAATGACATCATTACATTCTCGTCATTTCCAAAAGTAGCTACTTTGCTGGGATTGATAAAGTAAATGACTTCATAACACTATGTATTCACAAAAGTAACTTCAAAAATATCTTGACTCGTTAGTCATGTCAGGTGGAAAAGACAGTACGCCAGACGAGGGAAACAGAGTATTGTGTTGTTTAGTTGGCCAGCATGTCTGGGATACTGCATATGTTGCATATCGGCAATGTGATACAAACCAGCTTTTCGAAATACTACCGTCAATAGCGTCTCACCTCTCTTCTAAAGTAGCGGCCCATTGGTTTGGATCTTAACCAATAAGTCGCAAGTTTATAAACTGCTTCCTCTACTTTGTTTTGGGCAGCTGAGTAATATCTTTAAACTTTACACCTGAAGTGTAGCCTTCAGCGAAATACACGAATCTGTACCTGGTAAACTAGTTAATAACATTTTAAACCCGAATGTTACAATTGTACAAAAAAGATACTTTTTCTTAACAATTTCGATGCCAAAGTATTGTTACTTTGGCAAAGTATATTATTGTTTCTCTTTAACTGACTCTACAGTGCAATCGAAACTCATTTCACTGTCTAAGTAACTTTCATTTTATGAAATAAAGCCTCACTTCTTTTGCCTTTTAAGGGTTTAGTCTTAGTGAAACCCCTGTTATTGTATTACTTGAGACCTCTAAATAAGACAGTTTTTGAATGTAGCTGTTAGAACTTCTATCCCAAGTGCACTTCCGTACGAATGCAAGCGATTGTGTTGAAAAATACAATAATATTAAACAGACTATTTAGTGACTTACACTTTTAACACTTATTATCATTGAACGAAAAGAGAACCATCCACAAAAATGAACCCACACTCACACACCAATCGGTTTTGAACCAAATTTACAAAGTTGATACTTGCAAGGTCGAAGCAAACAAACAACTCCTATAACAAATAGACCTTCTAATTTTATCTGATTTCCGGTTTAAGGACAGAAAGCCGAAATTATTTGATATTATTTTGTGTGATAACTATTACGCTCACAAACCTAAGGGTAAGGACCCAGAAACTGGAGACATAGCACCGCAAAACGGACTGTAGACATATCTTCTACTCCATAAAAGTAATCAATCGCTGAAATTCTCTGCCAGCTGAGCTAGTCCAAGCTACTTCCCAGAAGTCCTTCAAGAGAAAACTTGGCATATTCTTAGGGATTAAGGGTAGAATCTTACTATGATTTGCCAACACTTTTTCTTTTCCTCTTCTATCAATAATATACCCAGGTTCCTGCCTGGAGTTATCGGTGATCCACTGCCACTAAATACAGAAGCGCATTAAGTGAAAGCTTCTTCTATTCTGTCCGAGACCGTTTGAACCATTTTAACTCTATTTTATAGTGAATGAAGTTAATCATGAGAGACTAAATTTTCTTGTGGTAGGTTCGAAGTGGTCATTACTTTGAGAATAAATTTGTAAATTTTAGGTCGCTTATCATTATACTATCTTCAAATTTCAATAAGCACCAGGTAATCCTATTTTATATTTTATCCCAATTCAGTACTAAGTACACAAAACGACATTTTTTATTTTCATAGCATTGTGGTGCACACATTCAGATTTTTATCTTTGCTGTCGTTTTTCTTGTTTTTCAAGTTTTTGTTGTGGGCGTCAACATGCTTCGTTGTCCCACCAATTCCAGTATAAGAATGAGTTTGTACTGAATTTAGTATTCTCTATTACGTATCTAATCACGAGTCTGTCGGGACCATAAAAGTTGTTGCAAATTAATGTGGCCTCTGAATATAATATTTTAATTCGGATGAAAAAATATGTGTTATGTTGAGAGACTTTTATTGGTTTAGAATTTATCAGCTTATTGATAAATAAATTCCGCTCTATAAATGTTTGCTGTGTTGGTGTTGTGAATTTGCTTCTAGATTTTAGGCCTTTGATAACAGTTTCTATGTAATCTTTCAGGGCGATAATTATAAAGCACAACTGAGGTCTATTTGGTTTATTGTGTAACAGTAAAAGACATTAAAATATGAAAGACGCTCATTTTGTGCCTTGTTCAGTAAGGTACGAATGTATGGTGTTTATCTAAGTACTTGCAATGAGTCATGAATAGTGAACCTCTTAGGTCGTTTTAGTTGGAGTCGACGACTTGCCAAGTGAATTTCACCAGGATCTCCTTAAGCATGGAGATATTCCCTCCTACACTGGCAAGTGAGAAAATTCGGGAAACGTACATTCTCATTCACATGCAGCTCCTGCCGAACATTTGTTACATAAACATGAATTGGAGCAATGTATTTGATAATATTAGGTAACTTGTGTATAATGAGGGTATGCATGGTTCTACTTCTTAAATTCATTTAGCCATTCTACTGTATCCTGCTTTTCCTGAAGATGTTTTGTGATTCGAGGACGTGACTTATTCGGCTTTATTTATTCTCCTACAAGCAGCGTCAAGTAACTTTGGTGTACTATTAGCGTTAATGTATAGGGAAAGTAATTTGTTTGAAACAATTGCCACAAGAACATATCTTGTGTTTATAGTTAATTTTTATGTCGAAACTTCCTAGTTTTTGTTAGCTTTTTTCTTGTTGCTGACATTTCTAGTTAGGTGAGATTAACCTAAAAAACTACTATTAAAATCTTCCAGTGTGGTTATGCATTGTATTATGTAGAGGATGCTATCTTTAGGTATTTGATCATAACATCGTGATCACATATTCTTTGAAAATAGAGGGAAGTTTCCAAATAGACTCTCCCTCTACGTCATATTTTTGTAATTGATGGGTTCCCATAGTGTCGAATCAAGTGATCATTTGTGTGAACCACAAGAGTTTGTGTTGATTCATTAAATACCGGTTGCATACTGGATACGACTTGTCTTCCTTGAGAATCAACTTATGGGTTACCAAGATTGAAGCATTTTAGCCTCTACTCCTTAACTTTCATCCTTTAGCGAATTCAAATAAAACATTCGGGAGATGCTTTTACTGCAGACCGTTGCGTTTTCCTGTGTCTGTTCTAATCTTTTTTCAGTTGTCTACATCAATCAATGTTTCAGGGTCGGCTTATTTACTCTAGGTACTCGGCAACATGAGTCGCGTTAGAATCAATTATTGTCCGGAGAATTCTACGATGCTTAGGTATCTTTGTTATTCTATCAAATTCACCCACTGCCATAATTGTTTGCGAAACCGGCGAGTACCGTCAAGTTAGGAGAAAAAGATGAATGTCCAGCAGTTTTGAGATGGTGGAGAAGATTTGTAACTCGGGTAAATGACTTTGATTGAGTTTCGCTCTCTGAGCTGTATGTTTGGTAGTGGGGCCTTCATCGTTCTTTTGAACGACACCATCAGCACAAACGGTGAAAGCTCCATGGCTAAGCCATCCAACTCAGAGAACAAAACTTCATCAAAAGTCTAACTGTTTACTTAACATTTCGACTACTATCATTGTAAAGACCGAAATACTAATATTCGGTTCGAACACAGAACTTACTTACTTACTTAAGCCTCTTACTCCCAATGAAGTATAGGCCGCCGACCAACATTCTCTAACCCACTCTGTCATGGGCATTCCCTCCTAGTTCTATTCAATTGTTATTCATTCTTCTCATGTCTGTCTCCATTTCACGGAGTGATGTGTTCTTCGGTCTTCCTCTTCTGTTTTGGTCTTGAGGATTTCGTGTTAGGGCTTGACTTGTGACGCAGGTGGGTGCTTTCCTCAATATATGTCCTATCCACAACCAACACTTCTTCCTGATTTCTTCCTACGCTGGAATCCGATCTGTTCTCTCACACAGTAGGTTGTTGTTGATAGTGTAGTGTCTGGTCAACGGGTCCGAAGTATTTTGCGTAGGCAACTGTTATTCATCACTTATATCTTCTGGATGATGACTTTCGTAGTTCTCCAGGTTTCCACCTCGTAAAGTAGAACTGTTTTGACATTTGCATTGGAAATTGTGACATTGGTGTTGGTGCACAGATAGTTGTTTTGAATTGCAGATGTTTTTCAGTTGAAGATATGCTGCTCTTGCTTTGCTGATCGGCGCCTTCACACCTGCATCAGATCCACTGTGTTCATCAACGATGTTGCCCACATATGTAAATGTTTTTACATCTTCCGAATCTTCTCCGTCACGTGTGATTCGATTGGTACATACTGTGTTGCATCGTGTTTTTAACCTTTGTGTATGTTGAGACCTACTTCTGCCGAGGCTGTTGCTACACTGGTCGTCTTCTGCATTTATAGTTACGTGTGCGACAGAAGAACCAGATCATCTGCGAAGTCTAGATCGTCCAGCTGCATCCTACCTGTCCACTCTATCCCATGCTTATCCCCAGATGCTGATGTCTTCATGATTCAGTCGATCACTGAGAGGAATAGAAAAGGTGAGAGTAAGCAACCTTGCCTGGCACCGGTCTTTACTTCGAACGAGTCCGTCAGGCGTCCTCCTTTCACGATTTTGCAGTTTAATCCATCATAGGAATTCCGTATAATGTTGACTATCTGTATACAGTCAAATAAACCTCGTTCCTTTTTGTAAACTATCTTAAAACATGACATCTTGCCTCTATTTTTTTCTCATGGACACATGAGACAATTTTCTACACTGCTTTAGGCGTCGTTCGTCTTTCATTGGTAATTTTTATGACTTATTTGGTATACTGATACTGTGTTGTGAAAATGAGCAGTTATTGAAAGTGGAATACCACCATTTAGTGTAACTGATTCCTGAAATAAAGGTACTCAGTCTTTTCTACTGGTTTCATTACGGAATAGGACATGAATTTCCAGTCAAGATCAATAACGGGTTTGTACATCATTCCAGCAACTCAGTTGTGATCAAGTAATCCATATCCACCAGTGGTCTCGAGTCATGACTTTTAGGTCGGGTAGATTCAGCCTACTCTTTAGTAGTGTTAGATACGTTTGTTGTTTGACGTAACTCTTACAAACAAAATCTTGATCTGTTATGTATGCAATATTCTTGTTGACTCTTATATACTTAACAGTCATATTCAGTAGCAGCACATTATTTTGTATCAAAGGAAATTTTGAATGCATAGTGTTTGAAAAGCATTATTGAACTAAATTTTAACCTGTGATATTATTCGTCATTAACTAGTATTGCAAACATTCAATGACCAATTTTTGCTTCTGTGTGACCTGAGGTGGTCATGGATATTTAGAATTTGACAAGGCTGATATCCAGAATCCCTTGTAGCCCAGAGTTGCCTAGGCCAACATAACTAGAAGTGAGGAATAACGGAACATTATTTGGATTAAGGTGCAATGTATCATAGAGCATAGCATCTGAATTGACTGGCTGTCCAATGACATTTACAGCATAGTGCGCGTGTTTGAAAAGAGAACCTTGCACTCTAACCGTTGTTTCACGATCTTAATAAAGACATACTGCAATCAATAGTTCGGCTTTTTATAGATAAAACGGGCTAACTGTCAACATTGAAAGGTATTCTTCCGAATTTTGTTCAGAACTTACTACCTTTGGGATGTACATAAAAATGGGCCTCAGTAGTACAATAACGCCCGTCCTTAGTACCGATCTAGTGTTTCAGCAAATTATGAAGTACCGCATACACTTTTAAGTTCCGATACTAAAAGTATATATGGGTGTTCAATGCCATAAGCGTAGAATCCAAACTACGGTTTGGATTGAAGAACAGCCGTTCAGATAGGGTAGACACGCGCCTTCGCCCGTCAAAATCAAAACAAGTAATCGGGTAAATGATGGTTCTATAATTCATCATAAATTTAAACGTACATCATCACCTAAACAAATATTACCACCCGGCT